ATTCTCTTTGGGTCAGACTATCCTGATTACTGTGTTGCTCTGTTGCATATTATAGCAACCACATGTACCTTTTCTTTGGTTGTGAACTGAATTGCTACCATTTAGCCCCCATACCTTGGAATCCCATCATTCTCATTGATTCAGGTAGTTTAGTTCAAAGGCAGTACTTCCCATTGACATTCTTAGCTTACAGAAAACAGCCACTAAGAGCTCTTCAGGGATGCTGGGGCTCCCTCTGGATCTTCCCTGGGCACAGCAAGAGAGTAGATGATCAGATAGACTGAGACTCTGGCATTCCCATCTCCCTAAGCCTCTGGATCCCTCCTTTAGGGTATAGCCAGGGAGTTCTAGCCCTTCAATGTCTTTGGAATCTACCCTTGTGTCATTCCAGCCCAACCTTCTGATATTCATCTTTGGAGCCAGGTTTCTAGCAAGCAACTAAATAAATTATTAGAGTACTCCTGGCCACTATATTTAACACAACAAACCAGAATTTCATATTGAGTCCATATCAGTAAATTTAGGTTCATTCAGTATTTTATTCTGTTCACTCTGGCTTAGTACCCTTAGGATCTATTCCCACACATATTCCTTACTTTTCTGGTGATACAGGCATACCTCAGAGATCCTACAGTTTTGTTTCCAGCCACTACAATAAAGCCAAGATCACAACAAAGCAAGTCAAAGAATTATTTGGTTTCCTAGTACATATAAAAATTATATTTACACTAAATCTGGTCTATTAAGTATGCATTAGAATGTCTTAATGTTCATACCTTAATTAAAACCATGTTATTGCTGAAAAATGCTAGCCATCATCTGAGCTTTCAGTGAGTGTAATATTTTTTGCTGCTGAAGAGTCGTGCCTTGATGTTGATGGCTGCTACCTAATCAGTGTGGCGGTTGCTGAAAGTTGGGGTGGCTGTGGCAATTTCTTAAAACAATAAAGTTTGCCACATCATCAACTTTTCCTCCCATGATTTTTCTGTACATGCGATAGCATTTTGCCCACAGTAGAACTTCTTTCAAAATTGGAGCCAATCCTCTCAAAGCCTGCTGCTTCTTTATCAACTAAGTTTATGTAATATTCTGAATCCTTTTTTGTCCTTTCAACAATCTTCACAGCATCTTTAGGAAACCACTTTCTTCACTCATCCATAAGATGACTCCTCTCTTTTAAAGTTTTATCATGAGGTTGCAGCAATTAACTTCCTCCACTGAAATCTTGAACCTCAAGGTCATCCGTGAGAGTTAGAATCAACTTCTTCTGAACTCCTGTTAATGTTGATGTTTTGACCTCTTCCCATGAATCGCAAATTTTCTGAATGGCATCTAGAGTGGCAAGCCCTTTCCAGAAGGTTTTCAGTTAACTTTGCCCAGATCCATCAGAGCAATCCCTATCTGTGGCAGCTGTAGCCTTATGAAATGTATTTTGTAAATAATAAGACTTGAAAGTCAAAAATTACTTATTGACCCATGGGTTGCAGATGGATGTTGTGTTTTCAGGCATGAAAATAAGATGAATCTCTTTGGACATCTCCATCAGAGCTCTTGGATGACTGGATGGATTGTCAATGAAAAAAAAAATGTATTTTTTTCTGAACACTAGGTCTCAACAGTGGGCTTAAAGTATATAGTAAACGCATTTAAATAGATGTGCTACCATCCAGGTTTACAGAACACAATTTAGCATAATTCTTGCCCCTGTGATTTTTGGAATGGTAAGTGAACATTGGCTCCATTACTTTGTAACGAGAGTCAGCCTATTTGAAGCTTTGCAGGCAGGCATTGACTTCTCTCTAGCTATTAAAGTCCTAGATGGCATCTTTTTTCCAATATAAGGCTATTTTGTCTGCAGTGAAAATCTGTTTAGGGCAACCACTTTCACTCATTATCTTAGCTAGATCTTGCAGATAGCTTGCTATAGCTTCTATATCAACACTTGCTTCACTTTACACTTTCATGTTATAGAGATGATTTCTTTCCTTAACCTCATGAACCAACCTCTTCTAGCTTCATACTTTTCTTCTGCACCTTCGTTACCTTTCTGAGCCTTCATAGAATTGAAGAGAGTTGAGGCCTTGCTCTGGATTAGGCTTTGGCTTAGGGAAATGTTGTGGCTGGTTTGATCTTCTATCCAGACTACTAAACCTCTCTCCATATCAGCATTAAGACTGTTTCTCTTTCTTATCATTCATATGTTCACTGGCACTTTTAATTTCCTTCCAGAACTTTGCCCTTGCATTCACAACTTGGCTAACTGGCTCAAGAAGCCTAGCTTTCAGCCTGTGTTGGCTTTTGACATGGCTTCCTCCCTAAGCTTAATCACTTCTAGATTTTTATTTAAAGTGAGAGATGTACAACTCTTCCTTTCATTTGAACAGTCAGAGGCCATTGTAGGGTAACTGACTGACCTAATTCCAGTGGGAATAGGGAAGGCCATGGGAGAGAGACTGGGGAATGGCTGGTTGGTAGAGCAATTAGAATACATACACTATTTATTAAGGTTTCTGTCCTATATGGGTGTAGTTTGTGGTTCCCCAAAGCAATTACAATAATAGTATCAAAGAGCACTGATTACAGATTACCATCACAGTTGTAATAATAAAAAAGCTTCAAATATTACAAGAATTACCAAATGTAATAGACATGAAGTGAGCGAAGGGTGTTAGAAAAATCTCATTTGTACATCATTCTCTTGGGCTTCCTATTCTTGAAGCACTGAGAGGTGGCAGGGCAGATTCTTAGTGGGGCTTAGCAATCCCTTGTGAGGCAGCTGTCTCAGGAAAGACCATCACAGGCATTCAGACAGGGGGAAGCTGTCTGAGAAAGAGGAGGAAGGGCAAGAGAGAATGGCAGAATTGAGTGGTTTAAGGTCCCCTGCCTGCTTCATTGGAATCTGCCCAGATGTTCCCTTCCCAATTGCAGAGTCTCACTTCTTTCTAATCAGTGCCCTAACTTTAACATAAGAGTCTGTGCAAGGCTGGGAGTTCAGTTTGCACTGTAATTCAGCCACTTGCAGAATGTTGGTATTTAGTAATCTTAGTTATAGTCCTAGAGACTTTGAGGTCCCTTTATGAGACTTTGAGATCCTGCATTTCTTCAGCTGCTTCAGCATATTTAGGAGCAGACAGTCAACCCCATTATTCTCACAAAAATGTTCTGTGACAGCAAACACTTGGTCACCCAAAAAAGCCTTTCCCTCTCTAGATACTTAATTATTAGTGTCTAGATTATAATTTACATAACTTTGTCTACTGCGTGCCATGGGAATACCATTGTCCCTTTTACCACTGCAGGGAAGGGTCATTAATACCCTTAAATCTTTAAATCAGAGACTATTCTAGGTGGCATAGAAGCAATTTAGAGAACCTACTTTTAACTTTCTTTTCCTCTGGAACAACATTTGGCATTGGTTAGGGTTCAGAGAAGCTGAATCATTATGAGTGATATAAGGGATTTATTATAGGAATTAGCTCCTACGTGATCACAGGACGTGGTTAAGCAGTCAGCAGTGCCAGCAGTAGGGACAGGAAGATGGAGTGTGGGAGGGTAAAGAAGAGCTGAAACCAATGAGCACAAAGTGGAACCCATCTGTTTCTCTCTTGGTCTTGTGTCGGTGTGTCATTGCCTCCAAGGCTCTGACTGCCAGGATGCTGGTGCCCTGCAGAAGGGCTGGTGCGCTTGCCATAGAAAATTGTACAAGAACATGGCCAACAATTCAGGGAAGCTGAGGAAGCTGTGGGCCAAGCTGCTGCCCCAAAGAGGCTGAGCAGGAGCTGGAGGAACTGGCTTCTACCCAACGGCAAGATGAGGCAGCAGGTCTATGACAATGTGAATGAACCGCAATAACACCTGACGTTACACCAGCCATCTGAACGTAAAGCTGCTGCTGTTTCATTTCTGCCTTCCAAGTCTGAAGCAGAGTTCACTTGTGGCCAGTCCTAACCCAGAATCCTGGAAGGAAGTGAATGCTGGTAGTTGGTACAATACAAAGCCACCATGATATTCTATTTTAAATCATAACTGTAAGATTTCATCTTTGGAAAATTTCAGGATTAAAGCTGGACACTGATTAATGCAGGCAGATGTTTTAGAAAGCACCAAGAACATCTTTAAAAATTTTTTTAGTTTCCATTGGTGTGGTGTCAAATCTCACTTTGGCTTTAATACTCAGATTGATTAGAGTCATACATTAAGGCTGCTTTATAAATTAGTTATGATGGAATTGTAATGTCAATTCCAATTCTCTTTTTATTGTTACATCAGCTTGTTTATAATCACCGGCTCCTCATCATGCCAACATATGAACCCAAATATAAGTGTTTTTGTGAAATAATAGCTAAGTAGTTAAGGGGATTACTTTTAAATAGCATTCTTGGGGCACCTGGGTTGCTCACTTGGTTAAGTATCCGACTCTTGATATTCGCTTAGGTCATGATCCCAGGGTTGTGAGATCGGGCCTCGTGTTGGGCTCTGCACTGAGTGTGGAGCCTGCTTAAGGTCTTTCTCTCCTTCTCCCTCTGCCCCTCCCCGCTCACACTCTCCCTCTCTGCTTCTCTAAAAAAAAAAAAAAAAAAAAAAAAAAAAAAAAATTAGCTTTCTTTTGCTTTAAAGTCTGGTCACTTTACTTAAATGACTTAGGACCACTCCCTACAACACAATAAAAAAGAATAATGATCATTTATTAAATGCATAACTTTGTTCCAGGTACTATGTTAGGAACTTTACATATGTTATCTCAATTCTTTAAAACAGTACTATGAAAGCTAGGTATTATCCCCTTTTACAGATGGGGAAATTGAGGCTCAGTTAAGTACTTAGCCTGAGCTGAGATGAGGACCTAAGATATAACTCAGGTCTCCTGTCTCCAACACACATGCCCTTAACCACCCTGCTCTACTACTAAGTTTGTAATTTCAATGGTGAGGAATATCCAAAAATCAGTAGGGAAACCTAAAACTAATTAGTCATTGTATCTTTTTTTTTCTTTCTTACAGCTTTGAGGAATTGGATTCTATAACCAATGAGCTACATGCAGTAGACCTTCAAGTTCGGGAACTTCTGGAAAAGCAACAAGAGCTCATTCAGAAAAAGAACATCCTAACAAACCGAATAAAGCAGCATTTAGAGGCTTCTAATGCTGGGAAAAGCAGTGAATGGGATTCTTCACCTGCTGCTTGGAATAAAGGTTTATTCTGTTTTTCTTTGCAAATTTTGTTTCTGATTGTTTCTTTATGCGGGAGTTTAATGATTGTTCCTGGATCGGTGCTTTCCAGCGGCTTAGAGGGAAAATTGGCCGCGCTTCAAGTGGCATGGGAAACCTGTAGGCAAACCATTCTTACCCATGTTCTTTTTAAATGAAGCTTTTCTTATTCAGACTTCATAATTTTTTTCCAAATATGGTTCTAGCAGCATCAATCAATGCTTGGAAAAAGAAGATTCTTACCTAACTTTTCTAAGTTTTAACTAGAGAAAAATTAAACAAGAAAAAAAGATTCAAACTTCTTGCTAAAGTCTAGTTTATTTTCCTGCCCTAGTGAACGCACCTTTCTTGATTCAAGATCTTGCTAAACATCATGTTTATCACTGGCTATCACATTGTAATGGAATACTATGACTCTCAAATTGCAATGCTTTTGTGGGCCTTGCTTTCCAGGGATTCACTTCTAAACAAGATATTTACATAAATTCTACATAATTGTTAACTTGATATTTGAGATTTTTATGATATTTGAATTCCCTTATCAACATTCAGACTGTTTTTTGAATACCTATCAAGCACCTTCCTCTTCTTTGTAGGTTAACGCTAACTGGCAATTATTTATTTATTTATTTATTTATTTGACACACAGAGCGAGAGAGAGAGAGAGAGAGAGAGAGAGAGAGAGAGAGAGAGGGAGAGAACACAAGCAGGGGGAGCGGCAGGCAGAGGGAGAAGCAGGCTTCCTGCATGAGCAGGGAGCCCGATGTGGGGCTCAATCCCAGGACCCTGGGATCATGACCTGAGCTGAAGGCAGCGGTTTAACCAACTGAGCCACCCAGGCGCCCCTATTTTTTTTGATATACTGTTTCTTATCATATATCATTAAATGCGTTTTTGCTTAGCTTCATTAAACTAATTTTGAAATTGTTATTTCTGCTCTAATGTTTATTATTTCCCTTCTGCTGGCTTTAAGCCTTATTTACTGTTCCTTTAGGTGTGAGGTTAGGTTGTGTATTTGAGACTTCTTGCTTCTTGAGTTAGGCCTGTATTGGACTATAAAACTTCCCCCTTAGGACTGCTTTTGCTGCATCCCAAAGATTTTGGACTGTCGTGTTTTCATTTTCACTTTTTTCTGTATACTTTTATTTCTTCTTAAATTTCCTGGTTAACCCATTCATTCTTTAGTAGGTTGTTCTTTAACCTTCATGTATTTGTGGTCTTTCCAAATTTTTTCTTGTGGTTGACTTCAAGTTTCATAGTGTTGTGGTCTGAAAATATGCATGGTATGATCTTGATCTTTTTGGACTTGTTGAAGGGTGGTTTGTGACCCACTATGTGATCCATTCTGGAGAATGTTCCATGTGCACTTGAAAGAATGTGTATTCTTCTGCTTTAGGATAAAATGTTCTGAATGTATCTGTTAACTCCCTCTGGCCCAGTATGTCATTCAAAGCCATTGTTTCCTTGTTGATTTTCTGCTTACATGATCAGTCCATTGCTGTAAGCAGGGTGCTAAAATTCTTTAGTATTATTATGTTATTATCAATGAGTTTCTTTATATTTGTTATTAAGTGCTTTACATATTTTGGTACTCCCAAGTTGGGGGCATAAATATTTACAATTGTTAGATCTTCTTGATGGATAGACTACTTAATTATGCTATAATGGCCTTTTTCATGTCTTGTTTCAGTCTTCAGTCTAAAATCTAGTTTATCAAGGGGCGCCTGGGTGGCTCAGTCGGTCAAGCATCTGCCTTTGGCTCAGGTCATGATCCCAGGGTCCTGGGATCGAGCTCCACATCAGGCTCCCTGCTCAGTGGGGAGCCTCCTCTCCCTCTGCCACTCTCCCTGCTTGTGCGCGCTCTCTCTCTCAAATCTTTAAGTAAAATAAAATAAAACCTAGTTTGTCTAGGGGTGCCTGGATGGCTCAGTCAGTTAAACATCTGACTCTTGATTTCAGCTCAGGTCATGATCTCAGGGTCGTGAGATCCAGCCGCATGTCAGGCTCCACACTCAGTAGGGAGTCTGTTGAGATTCTCTCACTTCCTCTGCCCCTCCCCCCATGCATGCTCTCTCCCCTCTCTCTCTAAAATAAATATTTTTTAAAAAGTCTAGTTTGTCTGATATAAGTATGGCTACCTCAGCTTTCTTTTGATATTTATTAGCATGACAGATGGTTCTCTATTCCCTCACTTTCAATCTGTAGGTGTCATTAGGTCTAAAATGAGTCTCTTGTAGGCAGCATACAAATGGGTCTTGTTTTTTTTTTTTTTCCATTCTGATTCCCTGTGTCTTTTGATTGGAGCATTTAGTCCATTTACATTCTGAGTGATTATTGAAAGATAGGAATTTAGTGCCATTGTGTTACCCGTAAAGTTGGTGTTTCTGGTGGTGGCCTATGTTCCTTTCTAGTCTTTGTTGCTTGGTTTTTTATATTTTTGAATGATTAAAAAAACCAAAAGAAGAATACTTTGTGAAGTGTGAAAATTGTATGAAATTTAGATTTCATTGTCCATAAAGTTTTATTGGAACACAACCATGCTTGTTCATTTACGTCTACCACTGTTTTCACACAATAATGGCTGAGTAGTTGTGATATTGTATGGCCCACAAAGCCTAATATTTACTATCTGGCACTTTACAGTAAACAATACCTGACTTGTTTTATATTATCTATTAGAAAATAGCAAGAATTTCTAATTATGCAAGATAAGTAAATACAACGGTACATTACTAGCAAGGTACCCTTTCTCTGTGGAATTTCATCTGTTTGAGAATGGACTCTCTTACCTTGATCTGTTGAATAAGCATTTCCTAGCTATTCTTTAGATGTTATTGAAATTTCCATAAGTATAGAAAAGTAGAATTGTAATAAAACTGCCAAGTATCCATTAACCACTTTTAACAATTATCAACATATAACCAATCCTTTTTCATTTATATGCCCGGAATTTTCCCTTCCTCCTCCCTCTCGGTTTGTTTATTTGAAACAGTTCTCAGACATCATATCATTTCAGTTGTAACTCCTTCAGTATGTATCAGAAAAATATAATGACATCATCACACCTAAAAAATTTAATACTGATTCATTAAAATCATCAAGTAAAAATATTCACATTTCTCTGTCTCATCAAAACTTACTTTTCTTTTTTTAAATTGTGGTCCCGAATAGATTCATGGTTTATGTTGTATTTTGTTGATATTTCTGTAGGTTTCCCTTATTTCCTGTTTGTTTCCCATGTAAATTTAAATTATTTCTCGAAGAAATCAGGGTCTTTGGCTTATAGTTTGCTATATTCTGGTTTTTCTGATAACTTCCTTGCGATGTTGTTCATTTTGTTCCTTTTAGTTAGATTTAGAAGCTTGACTGTATTTGGCCTTTTTCTTTTTTTTTTTTTCCCAAGAGTGTATTTCCCATGGCATGATTCAGGAGGTATATCATAACCTGGTTATTTTGTGTGATGTTAAGCTCGGACAGTGGGTTCGGGTGATATCTGCCTATTCTATTACTGTCAAGTTCTCTGTCATCTTTTCGTCTAATGGCTTTAGAGCTGCTGATGATTATTGTTTGCCTTAAATAGTGGCTTTAATTAGGGGCTTACAAAGTGATGATTTCTCATTCTGTCACTCCTTATATCAGCTAGACTTTTTCTATGAAGAACTTGTTCCTTGTTAACTCTTTGCAGATTGAAAATCCTTTCCCTATCTTTACTGTTTTTCAGAAAGAGATGCTTTCCTGACATTTCTAACCAGGGTCAATAAGGTCTTTTTTTTTTTAAATATCATTATAAACTTATGGATATTTAACATATTTGATAGATTTTAATCCATATTATTCTTTATTATGCTGAAATAGTCCTGTCTTTGGGCAGTGAGCATCTCTTTAGATTGGCTCCTGAATCTTTTTTCTTCACCCCATAGTTTTTGACTCCTTGCTTGCTTTTAGGAGAAGTTACTCCATGCTCATTCTGCATATTTTCCTCTGGGCCTGGTGTCAGCCATATCTCCAGGTAGCCGTGGTTCCTTTAGTTTTTCCCATCTCTTTCTGTTTTATTTAAATTCTCATGTCTGAACTGCTCTCCTATTCAGCAGAACGAATATGGAGAACATTTTTTTCTACTACTGTACTTCCTTAACCCTGAAAAAGAGAGTAGTAATAATAGAAAGTAGCTAGAAGTTGGAGATAATTAGACGTTCATGCCACATCACTACTGTTTGAAAAATTGGGGAAGGAAAAAAGAGAAAGGATGGGTCAAGGTCAAGTCCAGTTTTGTTTGCTTTCACTAGCAGTTCATAGGCTGTGAATATAACTTTTTTTTTTCACCTCTCCATTTCTGAGGAAATAGCCTTATATTTGCTTCCCTACGATTTCTGGGGCATTTAAGGACCGTTGAAATATTTAATACACTTTAGCCATTTCTTAATAAACTTAAGGATATCTCAAGGAATTTGCTGGGACAATGAAAGCAGTTTGAACATTGTCTGTCACATCCACAATTGTTTCTTTATACTTGTTTTGTTCCTAATTAGGTTAGGAAATTAGAAAATTAGAAAAATTAGAAAAATATGACCCCTAATGTGCTAAATATTTTATGAAATAGAGCACTAAGAACCCAATAACTGTGAGCTTTTAAGATATATTTTTATTATATAAAAGTATATATTTTATATTACAAAATCTTAATGAATAGGATGCTTTACAAAACCTAAAGAGATTGAGTAGATTTGATAGCATCATTAAAGTAACTAGCTAATCAAGAATAAATTTTGTTCAGGTATATGAAGTGATCACAAATACAGTGTTAAAATTAATAAAACACAACTTTATAATCATCCCTGTTGCATTTAGTTCATATTTTGGCATTTATTATGAACAATTTAGAATTATGTCTTCATAGAGTAAATACTTGGAGTGTTTTCATTTTTATTTTATTTATTTTTTTATCAAACGAGATTATTCTTTTATCAACATTTGGGTACAAGTAA